AGACATATGGCACGAGAACCACATTCATTAAAACAAAATTGCCGCCAGTCGGCCATTTTGAATGTAATCTGAAAAACAAAATTATTTGCATCAAGGTCCCATAATGTCTAATGTATACACCAAGTTTGAACAAAATCCATCTGTAAACAGCAGAGAAATGCTTGATTTTTATGATTTTTTTAGCACAAAAATGGCCGCCATTCGGCCATCTTGAATCAGATCGTGAAACAAATTGACGTGCATATGTGTAATATCATGTATGATGTATGTGTGAAGTTTGATTGTGATTGGTCCAGGCATTTCTAAGATACAGGTCCGGATGCACGCACAGACGCATGCACGCACACACGCACGCACGCACACACGCACACACGGAGGTCAAAACATAAGTCCCCGTTTTCGGACTGCGTCTGAACGGGGACTAAAAATGCAGACAAATTTCAGTGGGAAAGTCTTGTGTGAAAAGGTTATTAAAGTTGCATATTTTCATTCAGTTTTTTGAGGTCATGTGATTATAATTTTATTATTTGAATTAGTGTAAATTATGGAAATATGTATTAGTTTTTCAAAGATTTTTGGAATGAGCGTCTGTTGCAAAAATCAAACAATCCATATTCCACATGTAAGCAAACTTCCACATGTAGCAAACAAAGTTCTGTCAGTTTTTAATTCTTATCTGGTTAAAGGCTGACATTTACGTCTTGTGGGATGGGCGCAGCTCAGTTTTCTAATTTAACTGATTATTCAATAACAGCAACTGTCAAACGTTTCTTGTATGCAGATAGTCAACATCTGTACTAATCTCTTGGGATCGACTTATGAATGCTGTTTATCGTTGATTTCAACCAAACCATGGGCGTCCATAACCAAACCGCCCTTTTCAGGGCCACTAAATCCCCCCAAAAGAAATATACCATACAAAATAACATGCGCACATAAGAGTAATAAAATTTTGAGACACTTTACTTTAAGTCAATGTAAAACGTACATGGGGCTGGCATGGATAAGGGTTAAGGGTTCTGAAGCATGGATATTTTTTTGGCGTGTAAAACAAATCAAGATATTGGTAAATTGTGGATATTCCTACATAACATTTGCCATGTGTGTCATCATAAAATTGTGTGACCACACACATACATGTCTTGTTGTTACTCAATACATCTCAGTGGCCAATAACAGAATATGACAAATATTTGTGATGACAGACAGGTGTCTCTGTTAGTACACTGATGTCTTTTTGGAGATGCTGAATTGTTTGCCTTACAAACATTTTTGTTTTTCTTGGACATCTACATTCAGTAACTCAAACTTTAGCAGTAGACAACATGGAAATTTTTGTTTTGTTCAACATTCAAATTTAGTAACGAATTTTAATTAACTGTTAACCGAACTTAGTAAATATTGCTATAGTAAATACCAAGGCAACTACATTGGTGATTGGTGACAGCTTCATTCAACCCTTAGTTCAAATACTCAATATAAATATTGTCTATGATAGAGTTACTGTGTTTTGAACATATCCTGTAGGCTGTATCCCTCGCCTACAAATCACTTGTCCACAATGACATCACATTCATTTTGAATTCTGAGGCGATTCCATCAGATATTTAACATAATAATCCAAGACAATCCCAGAGTGCTTCATTAATTTGATACGTACCATTTTCATACACAATATTGACCTCTTCCTCCACACCATCTTTCAGACACTGATCTCCTTTGGTGTCCATCAACTCTATAATGAGAGTGGCAACTCTTTTTATAGGTCTACCAGTAATGTCATAGAATGGTGAGGCTGGGTTGTTAGGATATGAACTTGACAATGGTCGAATCTTCTCTTGTGGAACTGTTTGTGAATTTGCTGACTGTAATGTTAACAAGTAATTTCATTGCATTAGTTATCAATAAGAGGTGCGAATAAGAGGGTGGGGCGAGTAGTGTGAATGAGGGGGTGAGCAGTTTGAATGGGGAGATAGGTGAGTGGTACGAATGAGGGGGTACATGTAGATGAGTGGTACGAATGAGGGGGTACATGTAGGTGAGTGGTTCGAATGACAGGGTAGGGTAAGTGATGCGAATTAGTGGGAAGGTGCTATTTTTTAATACACCAGCTTCAGTTTTGTGCTGAACTTGTAGTTTTTTGTAGTCTTTAACTTTGAAAGTTCACTATAAAAGGTAAAATTCAGCAAACATGTTTGTTACTCATATACACAACTAAATATATTTTTGTAAGATATCTTTTGGAGACAACATATGTCTATTCAACCATGAAAAACTAGTTATACTCAAGAAAAATCACATTGAAGCATTCAAAATGAATGTATATTCTAAGAATGAGTTTTGGACTTGTTGCTGGAATACGATCATGGAGAAGTTAAGGGGAAAGATCCTTTCAAACAAAACATTATACCATTAACTATGTTAATGTGATACCGATATTTCATAACAATTTATATGACCAATGGTTTTAGAGATGGTCTAAAAAATGAAGTAATGTGAGTTTAAGGTCAAAGTTTGATATTTTGTGCCATGATTATTACCATATATGTGATTCCACTGTCTGTTCCTGCATCCCATGGATAGAGTGCCAATTCTAGTCTATTAACCCAACCACAGTCTTGAGTGCAAAGGTCAACAGCACTAACACCAGCACACCAATCTGGACTAGGACCTAACATGGTCAACACAGTTAACAGATGTCGTTCCTGGTCTGCACTAAATAGGCTAGACATATTACCAATAGCTGGCCATAATCCCGGACGTCTGATAACAGTTCGAATATTTTGACCCTAGATAAAGTACATGTATATACTGCAATTATTATGTCAGTTATTGAATAAATGATTAATGAGGACATACAGCAAATCAGTGATTCTGTAAAGAGACAATTAGTGTTTATTATATGCATGGATAATTGTTCTATGAATTCTCAGCAATTAATTTGGCAACTTGAGCAACGACCAACTTTGATCAAATCTGCCATGAATATCACACATATTAGGTTACTATTTTTCTATTTTTTATAAATATTTTTGTGATTTGTATTCAATGAATCTATTTCAGTAGACATACATGTAGCAATGGTCTGAATATGTTTGGACATATGCTTTCTTTGAACACGCATACTTCAGCTAAAGATAGTATGAAGACAAGGAATTATGAGTTAAAAAGAAGTATAAATTTTAGTGATTAAGGATTTGTGAGCTAGTTTATTTATTGCTTTCAGTTAAAACATTACTTGTTTTTTTAATCCATGCCATACTGTATTTCTGTCATGACAACACAATTTTACTAAGACTGATCTGTTCTGATGTGATACATTAATTGATACCTTGTTCAGGGTGCAGACTAATGACAGACATAAATATATAAATATCAGCATTTTGCAATGCATAGTCCCTGTTGACTGTTGACTGTATATGCAATTCTGTTTTTTAACGTGAGTAATAAATTAGAGTAATTTTGGTTTGTGACATAAAATATAACAGCAAAACTTGTATCTATAAATATTTCTCACTATGAAGATACATGTAGTATGCATTTGACAATGAATGATATCACATTTATAGCAAGAAAGCAAATGTCAACAGCATAGCACTAATTAAGTATAAAATTCTAATTCATAATAATAATCATTGTGATCGAAATGACTAAGTCACATACTTTATTTCAATCAATAAGTTCTATCTCAATACAATATACATGTGCATAATGAACACTTTGTTGTTGCTATTTTATTATGTAAAACAGAATCTGTCAGCCATCTTAAGTATATTAAGAATATTGGCCAAGCTTTTGGACTGGACATGTCGAAATACCTGATTTTAGTGTTTTTTAAAATAGTCAGCAGTTGGCCATCCTTAACCAGATGACAAAATTATTGTATGTGCATATGTAGGGCATGATTTATGTATAAAGTTTAAAGTGATTTTCGCGAAGCAGATACAATGTTCTCTACAGGTAGGCCTCCGACCGCTGTTGGCACTGTACTGATTCAGCATACAAAATTAGTTGCATATGATATAAATGTATAGTGTCCAACATAATTGGTCATTCCATGACAGAGAAAATATGCATGTCTGGGTAATGGTTCTGTGTAACCACGTGATGCACAGAAAATAAGAGATCAGTGTCAGACTTCACCCAAACCAGGACCTGAGACTTTGGTCATCATGGTGATGAAATGTAATCAATGGCCATTAAAATAAATATCTAGATCACCAACTGGTGACTTTGAAGGCTGCAAACAGGGACTAAAGAATCCACTTGTACCTGTGACTTCATTTCCTGTTCTAATACGCTGCTTGATCCCCACTCTGCTACTCTGCGAATGCCTTCAGAAGCATAACCTCCATACTCAAAGACTATATAGTCCTTGCTATGAGAGCAGCCAGTCAGAGATGACCAGTGATTACCATGACCTGTAAAACAATTAACAATGGGGTACATGTAACTTATGGTAAAATGCATCTACAAAGGAGTCAGATGTCCAGGTGCATCTATAAAGGAGTCAGACGTCAAGGTCATCTACAAATAGGTCAGATGATAATGTGCATCTACACATAAGTCAGAAGTAAGGAGGTACAAGGGGTGACCAATAACAGCTTGGATGATGTCATCATCAGTCTCAAAACGGTGACCACGCAAGTGGGACTTCACCTTAGAAAACAGGTAGAAGTCCGACGGTGCCAGGTCAGGTGAGTAGGAAGGGTGAGGTAAGAGTTCAAAGCCACATTCGGTTGCTGCTGCAATTGCCACCTGTGCTGTGTGGACAGGTGCATTGTCCTGGAGCAACAGCACACCAGCTTGAAGCTTTCCTCTCCTTTTGTGCTCTCCTTGCCTCACTTAAAGTTAGCAACCCACTTCTCTACAGCGGAATAAGAAGGGGAGTCATCACCAAGTGTCGTGACCATGTCTACGTGGATTTCTTTGGGAGTCATCCACTTTTTATAGAGACACTTGATCACAACACGATCTTCTGTCTGGTCCATTTTGTGATTTTCGTCTCACCTGCTGATTTTAAATGCACCACGTTCTAATTAATGAATACCTTATGCTTTATAGTATAAAGTTATACCCCAGAATAGGAGTTCCGCCTCTTGTTTCATGGTGAGGCCGAGAACTTATTGATCACCCCTCGTATCTACAAAAAGGTCAGATGTCAAAATGCATCTAATAAAAAGGGTCAGATGTCAAGATGCATCTAATAATCAAAGAAAGCTTAGAAAGAACTCCTGTGTGCTGAGAGTATTGAAGACACATTAAAAATTAATTAAAAATTACTTGTACTTGAGATATTGATGGAATAACTGAAAACTAATTATGTAAATCAGATAACTGATATGAACAGATTTGAGTGTAAAACTAATAAGGCCTGCGTAATGTAATTTCTATGTACCAAGTTTCATTGAAATGTGATCAGAACAAAACTATGAATTATTATGAATTATTATTAGAGAATTAATATGAACAAATTTCACCCCAAAATTAATCGGGCCTGTCTATTGTTCTAGAGCGTTTATGTACCAAATTTTATTCAAATGTGATGATCAGTAATTGAGATATCAGTGTTAATTAATTATTTTAATTAGGTGATTAATAAGCATAAATATTTACCAAAAACTAATTGGGTCTCCTGCATAGTCCTAGGTTCATTGAAATGTGATGATGAATACTCTATAAAAGTTTCATTAAAAT